CCCCCAGTTCGGCTTATCTCACACTGGAAGGCAGCCCCGGGCTCTGTGCGGTGGTCACAAACAAGGTGTTGTTATCAGGGAGGGAGGGGACTGTGGAATTTCCATTGGTTGGGGAACAACTCAGCTTTAATTTTTCCAGGTACTCTGCATGTACGGGCTTATGGCACTGGAGCACTTTGATTGCATCTTCTACTTTGAACCACTCTCTCTTCCTTCCTATATTCACAGAATCTTCCCAATCTTCTAATATTTCAGTGACTGTAAGAACATAAACATATGTCCTGTGCTTTCGGTCTTGGTTCTCAAATATTCCCAGGAGCCTGCCCAATTTTCCTCTGCCTCCTGCCTCCTCATAAACTTCCCTCTCAGCCGCACCGCCCGGCTCCTCCTCAGGCTCCATTCCTTCTCCGGGGAAGATCCACTGGTCTGGGTAGCGACTGCTACTCACCAGCAGCACCTCGTCCTCCTGCTCGCTGCGGACGCACAGGCACGCCGCCCGCTTCTGGAATGCCTCGCGGTCGTAGGTCCGCTTCTGGTTGGGCTTGAACTTCATCACAGAGGCAGGCGCCAGCGGCCACCGCCACCCCGCCGGGCAGCTGGACGAGAGCGAGTCGGGGGCGGCGCGCGACGGGCGGCGAGGCCGGTCAGCCCCGGGGCCACCGGCCACTCCGACGCGGTGCGGGACGCGGACGCGGACGCGGGTCACTGAAGACGGGGTGCCGGGAAGGGAGTGCCGCTGCTGCTCCGGCGTCCGCTGCTGCTCCGGCGTCCGCCGCTCTCCATGGATTCCGCCGCCGCTCTCCTCAGCTTCCCGCTGCCGCCGCCGGAGAAAAACCGAGGCTCGCGGCTTTGCGCTCGCGCACGGAGGAGACAGTTGCCAAGAAGCGTGCAGACCCAGCAACTGCGCCGCGACCCCAATGACATTTTATAGATGAGAAAACTGAGATTCAGAGATGGTAAGTGAGCTGTTCCAACACGCCAGCCATGAAGGCGCCCACACACATACCCCAATGTGTATAAAGTATATATGTAAATATAATTGCATCCACATATGATAACTGTCTACACATGTGTGTAGAGCATCTACATATGTTTATATATATTTATATAATTAATATAAATGCATGTAAATATTTTAAAATATGTTTTTATTTTTCAAGTGTCTTTGAGAAATAATCCTGAAACAAGGGTGGTTCACACTGCAATAATAAAAAAAAAGAAAAATATATTTAAATCAAAATTTTCTACAGGAGATAAATTATTCAGAAAGTATGTGAAAATCTTTTTGCACAGATGATTATTTCAGTGTTTAAAAGTTACTCACTTTGGCATTTTCCTGTGTTATCTTTTATCACCTTGTTTTACTGCTTTTCCAATGGATGCTGCCAAAAATATAAATATTGCCAAAGAAAAATGTCTTTAGAGTGTCTAAATAAGACCTTATTTCTTAATCCCAATGATAAACTGTCCCTGCTAGGAGAATTAGATAGTAGAGCAGCACCCTTGTGACCTCCAGTGTAAATCAGATACATATTCAGCATCATAAACAAAATTCTGCAATTGCTGCCCATGAAAGAAAATGAATTCTGCATTATCATCATTTGTAGTTACTCTGCATTATTTTGTACTATAGAGCTCTTTTTCTTACACTTCTATTTAGAGTAGAAAATAAGATGCTGAAAATACCTCTCTTTGGATTCCTGTATTAATAAAATACATAGACTTTTCCAGTATAGCTTCCTCTTTGTATCAGGAATAAGAGCACAGACATTTATATTGAACATATTGAAGAACACAGGGACTAAGTGAAAGAGCTGGGAACCAAGGAGCAGCGCCCCCAGGGTCAGCACCGTGCAGTTTCCACTGCAGCACAGGCTCCCCCACTCTGCTCCCTGTTAACCAGAGGATTCTCAGAGAGGGATCTTACACAGCAATGAGGCTTTCACTACATCTATTCTGATCATTTATGGATGTGGAGCAAGACTGAATTAACCGAAAATTCCTCCGGTCATTTTGTAGAAAGTTTTCAAAGAACAGTCAGGCTAGAGTTTTTAAAGCCTTTAAATGAAATGAATTGTCAAAGATTTAAATGGAAATTGCATAAATAAATTATTATTTCTCACATCCAGGACACCATTGACATGTTTTGCAGAAATCTGAGTCACTTCTCTCTCCACAGGACACCTGACCTGTCCTGTGCTCTTGATCTCCCAGAAAGTGACCCTCCTGGCTTACAGATCACCCTGAGGATGGGGTCAGGGGTGGGGAGAGCCTTGAAGTTTCTGACTATGGAAAGCCAGCCACAGCTCCATGCACAACGCTGGTCCTGCCCAAGTCTCCCTCCCTATACTGAGACATATTCTGCACTCACCTCGGTGAACTAGAATTCACCACACTGGAAAATGACTGTTGTGGAATCTCAGAAGTCAGGGAGGAGCTATTCTCACAGTGTGTGCACAAACCCAGTGTGATTCCCCTTCTCTGCAGGTTCCTGACAGCTTCCATTGGAGAAGGTATGGGGAGTGCACAGTGTTTTATGTCATTTTACTGACTAATATTAACTGATCATATTGGACATTTGCTTCCTTGTTTTCAATTGTCTCTAATGGGATAAAGAACCATTTTTAATGTATTAAGAAGATTACAATATCTGGTGATTATTGTTTATGTGTACTTGGACATTTTAAAATTATATACTTCCAGGAAGTTCCACGAGGATCCATTAGTATTTAAAGAACAAATATGGAAATAGGCGGAAAGGCATTTTTTGATACACAGAAATGGATTGCATTTCTATGTCCTTTGAATTTTGTTCTGGTCTGAGAGTGACTTCTGCTTTGGTGTACATGTTCACAGCAGAAAGATGAGCTTTAAATCTTCATCTAATCCGGGCCTTGACTTTTAGAAAGGAAAACTTGGGCTGCTCAGGTCTCTCTGAGTGTGCGGAGACACAAATGCGGACACTTACAGGCTGCCCATGGGAACACACACCATGCACACTCAGGGTGTGACTTGGCCGAGGGTGGTGGTGCAGGTGTAGAGTCTCCACCACTAATGCTGCCATCACCATCACCAAATTATCAGCACCCATGTAACATGGTTGTTTTCAGCTATGACTGCACAATGACATCAAGTTCAAATTGTCTCTGTGAACTGCATCCATTTGGTTCTCAAAAAGTTTTGTTTACTCAATAGGGTAGATATTATTATTATTTTTCTGAAACTTTGTGTTCTGTACAGGAGTTAAAACAATAGGTAAGTTAAAAATTAAAAGTATAAGCACCACAATTTGGCACAAATTAAATTTGCATAAAACCTTGGGGAAAAAACTACTATGCATTCAGTTGCCAGTATCACTTTAAAGGACTTTTTAAATTTTAAAGTCTAAGTTATTACTTTACAGTTAGGTCATTTTAACCAATACTATTTTCCTTTTACCCTAAGATCCACTACATATTTTCATATTGAAATAATTATAATTTTCAGGTAGTTCACTGCTATATAATGGATTCATGGAGGGTAAAATAGAAAGCAGGCAACAGTATTAAGATTGATTGTAAGTGTGCGAGTAATCACCCATTGCTCAAAGCAAAAAAAGCATAAATAAAACAGAAGAAAATCTGAGAAGGAAAAAGAAATCCACTACTATCCTTACTGCAACTCTAAGTGCTAAGTTTGTTCTTCCATTGTCACTTGAGTCCATGGACAGCATGTGGAGTAGAACAAGCTCTCAGTGCTTCCACCATCTGCCACCCCATCCAGAGAACATGCTCATGATTAGCTCTCAAATCAGCTTCTGTTATTTGTACCTCATAACCCAGAATTCCTGCTGCACAGTGGTATGAAAAGTATAGTAATTCATCTTCAAGTTCAACTTCCAGTATCTTTCTGAATCTAAGTTCTCTTAAACACATACCAGAATGCCCATCACATATGCTAAATGAAATACAAATAAAATTAGGATTTGTTCCACAATTCCTCCCCACTTTGAACCACTCACTTCCTCAGTTACCTTTTGCACTGATCAGCTTTCAATTTGCTGGACAATGAACCCCACACCCCATCAGAAAGGTTCAGTTTGGCTCAGGACTGCATTTGATGGGGGGCCAGCATCAATTCAGGAAGCTCATAATGGAGGGCCTGGGAAAAACAGAGCTGCTCAGGTCAAGGTGGCTGGGAAGCTGAGTGGGTTGGAAAGAGCACCAGCAAGAGACTTAAACTGCTTCAGTGTCACCTCCAAGTGACCCTCCCTCCACCAGCGTTCAGCTGGACACCGGTGGGTCAGTTAACCCTGCACTGTTTCACCCCATGACCTGACCACCTCTCCAAGATCTCCTGATCCACTCAGTGGACAATGAGCCCACAGTCACAGGAGAACATAGTCATGTTTCTGAGCTGATCTTTTGAGTTATGTCCTGACAAATGTACCTATAAACCTCTTACTCCACACCTGGCATTTCAGAGACCTCCAGGGCATTGAGCAGTAACCAGGATTCTGTCCTCCTGCAGCTGCAGACTGAGTCTAAGGACTGCTGTGTCCCTGTAGAATGCCCACTGAGACTGACAGGAGGGGGTCAGTCATGGAGGACACGGCCTGGCCTGAGGCCAAGGTGAGAACAGAGTCCTTATGGGAACTGAGATGCTCTGGAAGAAAGCAAGTGACAGTGGAATGAGTTTAATAAAATCTCAACCAGAAGTATTGAGAGTATCACAAAAACTGACCTGTATAGGATTACATTGTTTTCTTTCTTTTGGAAATTTCATTAATATATGAAACACTTTTATTAAAATAGATATTGAAATGATATTACAGACGTGAGTGAATTATTCACAGAATATTCACAAATTTAATTTTTACTGTGTATAATAATTTACATGTTCACAAAGTCTCATAGTTTCTTGGTAATAAATTAATCAATCATACCTTCTCTTAGAAAATTATACTATTACTCTATTGCCTTTTGAAGGATTTAAAAATGTTTCTATTATTTTTATTCCTGAAAAAAATTCACGATGTCAAGAGGCACAGATTTTCCAATAGTTTTAGACTTGAAAAGCTGATGAATTTTTTATTTTTATCAGTACATGCTTGCACTACATGCTTACATTACTAGTGGAAAGCTGATACATGTACATAACAAATCATAATCCTTTTTGTGTCCCCTTCTGCTTCCACTTCCATGTCTTGATTTTCATTCCATTTACAAAAGATCTAACTCTCTTTTAAAAATATTTCCTTTTCCTATTTTATTCATTACATTGGATTTCTAATAGGAGAGAAACTATGTGATATTTAAGCCTGTGTGTCTGACTTACTTCATTAATATTAGAGTCTCAAGGTGTTTCCATTGTCTTACCAGTGACCCACGTTTCTTCTTGCTTATCACAGAGTGGTACTTCATTGTGTATAAATACACTATTTTCTTTCTCCATTCACCTGTTCATTGTGGTGCTGAACCCATGGCATGCATGTTATTGTGTTTTTCTGTTAAGACAAAATATGTTAATGTATGAATTGGTTTTTTTCTAAATGAAAACTTCAATATTGAGGTTGAATGGCAGTGTTGGCACTTTGCCATGAATGAGTGGATGTGGGGTTGCAGTTTGGGCACTCAGTCTTTAAAGGCTTTGCTGTCGCTGGGCTAGAGAATCAGCGGTTTCATACCTAATGCTATGAAGTGTGGATCCTGACAACTTGCTCAGGGAATTCCTTGCCTTTTGCATAAAGAGAACAGGAAGTGTGAGGTAGAGAGCTGAAACCACAGTGGGAAACCACAGACATAGTGCTTGGTCAGCTCAGAGAAACTCATATCACATCAAGGGAAGTGATAGCACCACTATCTTTTAAGTAGAAAACTGCAGACACAATTTCAACCTGGCACCAATTGATTTATTTACTCTTTATTTTTATGTAAGATGTAAACTTATGATGTTTACCTATATGCAAGGAATTGATTATTATAGTAAGCAGATCTACTACAGAGCATCTTCCATATTCCTCTATCAGGGTGTGCAATACGAGCAACTAAAATTTACTTTTTCTAAAATGTAGTATGCAATACAACAGTGCTCGTTTTAATTTTACAAGTGTGCATGAGGTTTCTCAGCTTCTGGACCCTTTGTAATGAAAAGTTGTAGGACTTGGCATATTTCTCTCCACTTCCTCCCAATCAGAAATTCTGATAATCACCATGTTATATCTGTTTTGATGTAATTCATTTTATATCAAAAATATGAGTGATATCATGTAGTATTTATTTTTCTTTTTATAATTCTGAGCACTGAACCCAGTACCTTGCCTACGTTAGGTGAGCATGCTCCAGCTGAGGTACATCTCCAGGACTTTTAAAATTTTGTTGATGCAGGCTCTTTAAGGTCACCCAGGTAGGCTGGAACTTGTGCAAGTCCTGCCTCAGTGTATCCAGCATGGGCGGCAAGGGGCCTGTATTGCCAAGGCTGGCTAGTGTTTTTCCTTTTCATCTGAAAGAGAGTCCATTTAAAAATTGGAAGAAGAGAATCTTACCCAGATTTGGGGTGCTGCAGCCTCCTTTCAGTGGTGCTTTCTAGGTTCTTCCTGTCTTAACACAGAATCAGTCAAAAGAAGTGAGAAGGTAACTAGGGTGCACACTTGCTAAAGGTAGGGGCGAACATGCTCCGCAGAGCAATCTTGGGCTCCGCAGATCGAGCATGGCTCGCGGCACAGGAAGACGCAGCCTGGGCTCCACTGGGAGGGTCTTCGTTTTTCCCACTCCACAGGCTGACATCAGGCCTGGGCCTTCCAGTCAGAAATGGTTCCCAGGTCTCAGCAGAACCTTGTGTGCCAGGTCACCTGCCATCAGCCAGCTGTGCCACCTCCAAGCTCCAGCCTCAGGAGTGAATGGCACTGTTTCATCAAGGTAGCCTTTTCCAGATGCCCAGGTGCAGCAGATGGAGCCCAGCTGGCATCCAGGCCCGCTCACTCCTGCAGAGCTGCACAGCCCAGGACATGCCACCCAGGACACTGGGGCACAGGGCTCCCACTGGCTTCCCAGACTGCTGCTCACAGGAGCCCTTTTGCTCCACTCTGCTTGCACAGGCTTCAGTTCCCAATGTCTTTGAATCATGGATATAAGATTATTTTTGCCTCAGCTGGGTAATAGACATCCTATCTGTTCACTTTTTCCATCTTCTGTGTTTATTTACCCAGCCATCACACCTAAATCAAACTGCTAGCCATCTTGTATCCCCTGCATACTGATCCTCAGAAACAGAAAACAGGGGCCAGCCCTTGCACAAGAGGGTCTGTAGCCCACATACTGCCCTTGGGTCTGAAGGCCCTGCTGCCCCACTGGCCTCCAGGGTGTCCAGCACAGCGCAGTGTCAGGCTCTGCACTGGGATGCAATGTGGACAGGCCACTCCAGGCCAGCTACCAGGCAGCCAGCTGCCTGTCTGAGGACCCGTCTCACTGTCATGGCCCACGGGCAGCCCAATCTGGGGGGAGTGGCACCTTTCATACCCTTTTTCTGATGTGTGTTGGAAATTGCCCAAAGGATAAAAGTCCAGACTGCATGCTCCTCCCTCCTAGTGATTCCCGAGGCATTTTACAGCATTCCCTTTTCTGCTTAAAGTGTAATGGAACTATTTTTTTTCAGGTTTCAGTTAATTGCTCTAGCTGACAGTATCTGATTCCTAACTCTAATTGCCTTCCATTGCTAAAAAGAGAACTATAAAAGAAATAATGAATGCTTGGAGGAGGACAGTGATAGAAACTGGGAATATAAATGTTAAAAGAGGTCCAAATGGAAAAGCTTTAGGACTGACTGTATTTATTGCAATGAAAGCACCCATGATAAAGTTAACTTACAGCTATCAAATTGTTTCTGCATTTGAGTGAAAGTCCCCTACATGAGTGTCCTTGTAAGGATGATAAAAAATACAGTGAATTCTTCTGCCCAGTACCAGGCAATGGGAAGGTGGGCTCATAAAACATGACAGTGGGCTTTGGATCCAGATTTGGTACCATGCACACTGAGGCTCTTCTCCAAAATGTAAATAACCAGGAAAGGTAAACAGTTTTAATCCACTCAAGACATAACAGGGCCATGGTAGCCCAACTAATGACAAGAAAGGGCAATTCCAGAACTGCTTCAGAAAGCAGCAAAAAAGATGGGATAAGTGTGTTCAAATCAGGGGAAGATTTTAAGGGGGATTAATGCCAAGATGTCTCTTACTGTAACATTTTTTTAATTTAAAAATTCAACAAAGTTTTTGATTACACCTCGTGTTCTTAAGTCTGGAAAGTTTCCTACATATTCCCTTTTCATTTCTTCATGTTAACAAAATATTCTCTTCACATGCATGAAAGATACAGGCTCATTATTTTGATAGAGAAGAAGCAGCAAATGAAAATAAAAATTATGACTTAAAATATATAATTGCTGTACCTAATCTTAAAACTTTTTTTTTTGGTACCAGGGATTGACCTCAGGTCCTTGTGCTTGGACAGCAGGCAGTGAAACCACTGAGCTAAATCCCCAGCCTTTAAATGTTTTAAAACTTACAGATTAATGACACTTCATGAGACACAGGCATTAAATATATTTCTAGTGCTGACACACAGATGAACCCATCAGGGCACAAGTTTGCCTAGCTTTTCCCAGAACAGATTCTCTGAGTTACTCTTCCCAGGACCCCCAGCACCTCCTTGTTCCTCAGGCTGTAGATCACAGGGTTGAGCACTGGGGTGAGGATGGTGTAGAAGATAGCCACCACCTTGTCTTCTGCTGGAGACCAGAGGGACTTTGGGTGGACATAAGTGTAAGCAAAGGGTGCAATATAGAAAGTCAGCATGTTGAAGTGGGCACTGCAGGTGGCATAGGCCTTCTTCCTGCTTTCCCATGAGTGCATGCGGTACACAGTGAGGAGCACTTTCCCATAGGTGCCCAGGATGAACAAGAAAGGGAACAGGAGATAGATGACAGTGCTGAGGAGCACAGTGTACTCATAGACACGGGTGTCCCAACATGCCAGAGTCACCATGGCTGGGACATTGCAGAAGAAATGATTGATGCTCCTGGACCTGCAGTAAGGGATATGGAAGACGTAGACTGTGTGAGCACAGGAGTTGACAGCACACATTGCCCAGGATCCTAGGATCATCAGCACACACACTCTTCTGTTCATGTGGATGGGGTAGGGCAGAGGGAAGCAAATAGCCATATAATGGTCATAGGCCATATACATCAAAATAGGTCCCTCTGAACCAGCTAACATGGCAAAAAAGAAACACTGAACCTCACACTAAATGAAGGAGATGGACTTGTTTCCAAAGAGGAAACCAGAAGTCATCTTGGGCACAGTGGTGCAGATGTAAATGAGGTCCGTGAGGGAGAGCTGGCTGAGCAGGAAGTACATGGGTGTGTGGAGCTGCACATCCAGGAGGATGAGCAGGACCATGCACAGTTTGCCAGCCAGGGCCATCAGGAATGTGGGGACTGTGAGAGTGAAGAGGAAAAGGCCAAGGCTTGATGGGGGAAACAGGCCCAGGAGGATGAAGTTGGTAGAGGTCTCATTGTAGTTTTCCATCAGTCATTTGCTTGGCTTTTCCTGAGAGTGCCTGCAGTGATGCAGTACATATAAATAAGGAGTTATTTCAGTTCATTATTTCAATAGTTGGACTATTCAACTATCCAACTATCATAGCTTTTGAATAAAGAAGAAATTTTTTTAAAAATGACTTGCATTTTCTACCCCACATATTTGCCTGAGGATGGAAAACACATTTTAACAAAATATAATAAATCTGTAAATTTATCAAAATAACATATTTCTCTAATCCCTTTTTCCAAACTCAGATATTTTGTTTACTTACAAAATCAGATGACATCAAGAAGAAAACTTACATGAAAGGTGCACATATGTAAATGAATGGAAGTATCTCAATTATAGACCCATATTTTAATACATTTTCATGACCCCTAGTGATTCTTTTACTTCCTGTTTGAAAACAGATTATTTTTATAAACTTTTAACATTTATATAGTGATTTTTTTTATTTTGGTTCACTAGAAATATTATAAGGAATTAGAAGATTGAATTTTAAAAGAATGTAAATATTAAAAGAAAATGTAATAAAAAACAAGACATTTCTCCAGTTTTATTTATTTATTTATTTTTGGTACCAGGGATCAAACTTGGGTCCTTGCACTTGCAGGGCAGGCAGTGGGACCACTGAGCTAAATCCCCAGCCCTCTCCTGAGTAGTTTTGCCAACAACTCACTTCCTCTGTTTTTGTCCCAGGCAAGTTATCCTAATGACCCAGAGCTTTGCAAAGGGACACTTCCTAATCACCTGCAGGCAGAAACCTTATAACCCTGGGACCAGATCAGCCTTCCCAGGACATGGAACCCACTGGCTCCCAGCACATGTGTCTCAGCTCTGGAAATCTGACCATGCCTGTGTCTGCATACACAATTATGAGAATGAAATCAAACTGGCAGCAGGTTTTTGAACTTACTGTCTTATAAAATTGAAGCCAAGTGACCCCAAAAAATGACCTTTGCAGGATCAACAAGCATTGTTCTGCAGTGTCCCAGAATTGAGTCTTTCATGAGATGCTTCCTTCCTTCAAGGGCTTTTATACCAGATGCTAGTAAAGAGAAAAGAATGTAATTTCTTGTATGGTTTTATTATATATCATGATAGTCTCTTCAAATGGATAAGCAGTTTTTGTTTTCAGCCATGTAGAAAGACATAGAAACAAGACAGAGAACATTTTTAGCATTTGAAGGCATTTGGAGTGCACGGTGAAGATGCATGTTACTGTGTCCTTCTAAGTCATAAACACCCAGGGAACCCCACAAGGATGAATCAGCGTCAGCCAGAGGTGGAACCTAAGCAGTCAGCCAGGTGTCCTGAGAGGAATGAGAGAACCACAGGGTTTCCTCCTGTGAATGAGGGTCAGGCTGGGGTGGATTCAGGCTGTTGACTGCACAATCTGGGCACAGAGTCTGACACAATTCCCCTTCTCCTACTCAGCAGGGAAGTGCACTGCCCTGGTGGACAGGACCTGTGGGTTCCTCCCAGCCTGCACAGTGGATGACCCTGAACTGGGCTGGTCCATGTGGGGAGAGTCCACATGTCCCTAATGGGGCTGGATGCCCAGGGTCAGCCTTGGGCTCACATTGGCCCACATAAGCTCCCCACATGTAAAGGTGTCTGTGCAGGTGCTGCTATGGTTTCCCTGACAACTGAGATGACTGTGCAGCAGTGAAGGCCATGAATTGCGAGTGTGACCTGTGAAGCAGCACAATCAGGCAGTGGTGGGTGGAGAAAGGTAGATTACTGAGATGCATCCACGATTCCTAGGAAAATCTCAATTATTTACAATAGGTATTTTTAAATATAAAAAGCACACTCTCACCCCATTAGTATTTCATCTAAATGTGGTATTTAGAAATTAATAACTCAAAAGAAGCTTTAGTGGAGAGTTTCATCATATAGTGTTTTAAAAAACATAGATGAAGATTTTATAATCAACAGATTCATATCAGTTAAAATACTGTGGAGATGAAAATGCATTTCCTTTGAGATATCATTTTACTCATAGGCAAAAAAAATACAGTGAACTGGAGAAATAAAGAAACCTATGTTCTGTTACACTTAAGGAGAAGCAGGACTCTCAGATCTGCTTCTTCCATCAGATTTAATAGGACCAGGTTGAGCCAGCCTGCACATGCCCCAGTGTCATTGTCACAAACATCCAGCACTCCCTTCAAACCCAGGGCTATATTCATGTTAGTACAAAAGCACTTCTGACTGTAAACTTGCAGTGACTGTGCCTGAAACTCTGCATCCATTTCATTTCTCAACTTCACCTTGCTTACATGGATTACTGCACTCATTTTCTAAATTAGATCACATATGGAATTAAATATGGAATGGTAGATTAAATGTGGAATGTTTCCAATGTAGACAGTAATCCACAGGACCAATGGGATTCATACCATCTGTTTCAACACCTCATGGACCTGCATGAAAATACTCCTACTACTCAAGAAAATAACTCACTTTACCAAGTCCAAATTCAAGAATCTTCAAATTGTCCCCAATGTTTTCCATGCCCAGAAGATGCAGCACAGGTCCAAACATGATACACCTGCTCCTGCTACTTGAAGTGTATGAATTCTGAAACATGGATTTTTCCTATAAATATCTTAGTTCATTTAATATTCATTGAAATCTCACATTTTGAAATATCATTTGAATTTATCTAAAATTTCAATATATATTTTACCATATAGTGTTACTATTAATTAAAGCAGCCATATTTTCAAGAAGAAAGGATAATTTGATATATACTAGTCTGACTATATTTATATTTCAAGAAATGTAATTTATAGACAATATCAGCCTTTCTCTGAATTTATGTTTCACTATCAATTCACATTCCATATTCAGAATCACTGTCATCTTTTTCCACATTTTATGATAACTTATGTTTTAGATATAAACCATCTTCATATTTAAAAAATAATTTAATATATTTAATCAGCACTTTCACTTTATCTATTTTAAGGAAAACCCATCAATCATCTAGCATCTATCTATTTATATATCTGTCCTAAAGTATGCTAGCCAAATAAAATTTCTTTTAAAGTTGTCTTCTTAAAAAGATCTAGTTTTAAAAATGACTCATCCCAATATTTTATTATTTTAAGTGCTTCAAGAGTCTGGACTCCCCTGAGAACTGCACCTGAACGCACACCCAGAGCCCAGCCCCATCCTCCCCTAGACCAAGGGGGCCAGAGCCCCCAACCCCACGTGAGCAGAGCCTGCCCGGTCCTCCTGAGTCCCTGCAGCTCTCACGCACCTCTGCCGGCTCCTCCGCAGTGAGCCCCAAGCCGGGAATCCAGCTGTCCTGATGCAGGTGCTTTGCATCCTGCATGATTCCGGGGAGTCATCTGGGACAGGACCACAGAGGTCCTGTTCTGCTCTCAGGTTGGGCCTGGGCCAAGGCCTGGAAGGAGCCTGCGGGTCCTCAGTGCTTCCTCCAGTGCTGAGGGCCAGTGCCTGGGGAGATCCCGGTATTCTACTCTGACTCTCCCAGGGTCACTGTTTCTCAGTCATATGGGACCTTATCCATCCCTTATATTCCTTATCCATCCCTCACATCCTAGAATGTGTCTCCTTGGGTTTGCCATCTTTGATTTCACTGCTCAACAAATTTACCACATTATAATTTAATATGATCAATTTCATATTAGCACACTAGAAGAAATTCTTGAAATATTTGGCATTTGAGGAGTAACCTTTAATGTGCTTTTGGTACTATTTATGATCAAATTGTTCTCATGATGGTAATACCTATTATCTCAGAAAATATTTTAATGTTTAAAATGGGTTATCAGGCGTCTATCTCTTTAATGTGATGCTGTTTAGGAAAGATTCAATACTACATTTTCAATGCAGATAATATGAGAAGTGTTCTTCAATATCTATTTTATGATCTCTAATAACAACTAATTGGTGGGTTGTCTTCAGGAGGGAGCCTACTGGCCTAATATAGGTTTATTTTTTCTAATTTTTATATAATAAAATACTCATTAAATAAAATTTATGATTTGATTATTTGTGGTGGTACTATTCAATTCCATTCAGCAGATTCTCATTTTTGTGCAAATATCAATACCATGCAGCTCCCAAACCTCTCATCATTTGTGGTTCAAATTCACACCATAAAGAGAAGCTGCTCATTCTCCCTCCCTACAGTCCTGCTCATCCTATTCTTGTGAATATATGAGGTACAGCGAGTGATACTTGGTTCATGAACTGGATTCTTTCCATGATTCTGGTAACAAACCCAGTTGGATGTGAACTGAATCAAATTCATTGGTTAGGTCCAATGTGGACCTTATGGGGAAATGTGATTTGATTCTTGGTCAGTTTGGTTTGTGACCAGAATGTCAGAGAGAATGTAGTTCATCAACTGAGACACCACTGTACCTCTCCTATGATTCTTTTTTTTTTTTAGGTATGCAATAAACATAAGTTTAATGGTATAGATCAACAGGGGAAAAGAAATAAGCAGAAGTCAATAATTGATTTTCATCCTTATCATTTTTGTTAGGGTCCCTCTAACTTGATGTAAACTTACAATTTTCATGGAAATTCCTATTCCACTCCCATTGTATCATAAATAAATTGAATAATTTTTCTATTTGTATGATTAAACAGGAAAGACTATTACATTTCAATGGAAAAGGCACTACATTTGTGATCAATGTCACACAAAATCACTTTCCCATCAGAAAACACAAACATCGACATCACAAAACTAAAAATATATAGGAGATCAATACCATTCAATAGATATGCAAGCTACTTCAGTCTCCCCAAAAAGGACAAATACTTCAAAAAACCATAAAGAAAACCCCTGCCCATTTCCAGGTAACCCAAGTAGAAGAGACTGAAAGATGCTATGCATGTTATTTTACCTCTCCCCTGGCCCTTCACTACTTAGAAAACTGCCTGCTCTCCACAGAGACAGAAAATGGGCCTCATTTCTTCTCAGGGGAGAACAAATTCACTGACACCTTTGTGCAATATCCCTGTTTCTCAGGAACCCTGGCTCTATACCTAGTTCTGCTTCCAAAGCCTCTTCATATAGTTCTGTATAAGACTTGGGATCTGTTCCATTAAGATGGGGCATATGAACTAGGAGTATCATCTTGCTCATTTCAGCCTGAGCCCTTGGACCCCACAGGAACTCATAGTGAGCAGGATCACTGTTAAGATCTGCCAGTGCATCAGGTACTCTTCCCGTACTAAATCCTCAGTGATGAATTTCCAGGCTTCCTCAAAATGAATATGTTCAGACTGAGCTAGCATCTCCCATCTTTTCACTTTTTCAGTTAGGTCCTCCTCACTGATATAGTTGCCCTCTATGAAGATTAGAGACAGGATGAATATAATGATGTCAATTTTGAGAATGATTCTTTCATCATCAGCATCTAGTATCCCACTGTATGTAAGACTCAAAATGGTGACTACCTCATATGTATTGCCAGAGTGATTCACTTGCTTGATTTTAATGCCAAAGCCCAGATACATGGACTCACAGAGTTCCCAAAAGTTCAGAGGGAAGTTGTTATGGTAATCATGGGGCAGAACATGCAGCATATCTTTCATGGTGACCGGTTCCTTCTTTTGATACTTGTGGAGCAGAAATGGCACCAACTTACATAACTTGGCCTTTAGGAGCACATTTTGCAGGATGTGAGAGAAGTGTGCATCCTGCGAGGAGCTTGAACCCTCACAGGATTGACTCCTTTGACTGGAAGCCATGAGGACAGCAAGAACTTGTTGAGGATCAGAAGCCATCAAATCTCCAGTACTGGAAAATAGAGTGCTGAGCAACAGCAATTCAGCTGCTCCAAGAATCCAAACCCAGATTTTGAAAAATCACAACTGAGAATTCTCCACTGCACAGTGCAAGGCTAGCAACAGAGGCAGGGATTGATTATTTTCAGAGTCTCAACCTCGAACGTGGCCTTGTCTCTCACCCTCCTCTCCTATGGTTCTTGTTAAGGCTGAATCATGTAATATTTGTCTTTTTTAGTCTTAATTATTGAGGCCCTTTATTTGGTGTGGGCTGTGGATGAATCACAGAGGGTTTCTATGGGGAAGAAGACATCAGAGTCAACCATGTCAATGTCCATTTGAGTCACATTCATCAGCCACAGTGCTGTGCAAAGGCCTGGGGCTGAGGGACCCATGCTTGCCCCATAGGCCCCACACACTGGCATGGCCTGGGCCCTGGTACTTGGGGCTTAGTTCATCCTAAAGGAAGAGAGATGGGTATGGGACCTAATATGATGACAGTGTGTGTAAGTGAGAGTGCACACATGTATTTATGACAGTGTAACATTTTTGTCTTCAGCCTATGTGCAATTTTCACCAAATCATACAACTCCTTAATGAATAGCACATATTTTGAAAATATATTCTCAAAGTTCACTCATAATAGCAAAAAATAAAGAAAGAACATTAGAATACTTGATTCAGTAGAAAGAATAGAGAACATTTAACATTCTTTTTATTGCTTCTTTTTTTAGCCCTGTCTCAGTGGAGAGAAGTTCCAATATCTGTGCTAGGACCTGAATTCACTCTTAAAAGTCTGAATCTCAGCCACAGCCTAAGGACATGAGCCAAGTCTTTGATGCAAGACTTTCACTTGAGAAGGGGTTAGTGGGTGAATCAAGGATGTACATCCACCCAAGATCCATGGATGCCACAGGGCCAAGGTCACCAAGTGTCCTTCTGGCCCTGCTGTGACATTCAGTGAGGCACCAGTGGTCTCTTTGCAGGACTGGTCCTCAGGCCCATATTGGTCATTGTGTATGCTTGGGGAGTTGCACACCTGCTTCTCCATACTCCAGAGAGATCCTGCCTTCCTTCCTTCTACTGCTCTTGATGCAGTGCAGGGGATGGAACTCAGGACCTGTGCCAGCTGGGAAAGTGCTCCACCACTGAGCTGCACCCCAGTGCATTTTGTTGTTATTATTAAGATGATGATGATTTTAAATGTTGGGACAGGGACTTCTTAATTTTTGCAAAGTGGCTTAGAGCTCACAATCTTCCAACCTTAGCCCACCTGTGTCTGGAATGATAGGCATGTGCCACCAAGCCTGGCCCTGTCATTTGCTGTCAATATTATACTTTCTGTTAAACAGTAGATGAGTTTATACATATGTTTTCTCAAAGATGCCCAGTGATTCTGTTCCAAATTCCATTTTGATTCAGTTGAGAATGTACTAGGAGGCAGAGATGCTCAGTGCAGAATTTGATTATTGAGTGTAATCACCAAGTATCTCATTTTTTCTGCCAATGTGTTAAATTCTGTGATGTGAGGGAAATGTTTCAATAGCAGGCAGCCTATTTTTTTCTAAAGGTACTTCTCTGTTATCATACATTTCCTTTGGAGGGGAAAAGTGCACATCAGCAGTATTTCCATGGTTGTGCAACATTCTGGCTTATGTGATTCACATTGAGGGAGAGGGAATTGCCTTTGGCCACATACAAATCATATCATATAGTTAATAGGTAAGCAACAAATTTCCCCTTATTGTATTTTAACTTTTTATTGTATAATTTACAAAATAATACAAGTCCAAGTTTAAGAGATAAACAGCACAACTCATGTGATGGCTTAGGGTCTTGGACTGGAAAGGATATCAGCCTGTCAGGCTCACTGGCCACACCAAACTCAAGCTATTGATCTGTTCATTTGAAAAAAGTCCATCAAAGGTCACTGTTTTGCATGAACCTTTTACAGACCCCCAA